TACATTCAAATTCACCCCTACTTGCACACATATATTCCTTACGAAAACATGGTTACATTCAAACTCACAAACACTGCTCATAAATACAACCCTGCAAGAATGGTCAAATGGTAGATGCTCAGCTGGCATAGAATCATGGGATTTTGGCAGATGGGGATCTACCTTTCCGCCATCCTTGTGCTTGAGAGGGGCTTACTTGCACCAGGGCCCTCTCTACGTTAGCTCTGCCACTGCAAGTATCTTATGATAATTCCTGCTATAACTGTATACTGAGTAGAGAGTTTCTATGGCTCTTTGTGAAGCAGTCATTCTTGGCTATCAACAGTCACTCACTGCAACATGCAATAAATCACTCAGTTTTTATATTAAATTGATGGAGGGGTCCAGGGGCGGGCTGGGCCGGGGGGAAGGGAGGCAATTGCCCCACAGGCCACCCTAAATTCTGTTAGGACCGGCCGCTGCAGGGCCGGCCCTTTAAATGCTGCAGCCGCCTGAGCGCGCTGTAAAGAGCCTCAGGCGGCTGCAGCTGCTCCTCCCTTGCCCTCCCCTGTAGCGTGGCCGAGCTGCTCTGCTGTCCGCGGTGCCGGCCGGACTGATGGGAAGGAGTGTGTACTTCCTGTCAGTCCGGCCAGTTACAGGAAACAGAAACTCCTGTTCCGCGCAGAGTTTCTGTTTCCTGTAACGGGTCGGACTGACAGCAGTGCAGCTCGGCCACGCTACAGGGGAGGGGAGGAGAGGTGAAGGTGGGGGGAGGAGAGGTGAAGGGGGGGGAGAGGTGAAGAAGGGGAGAGGAGAGGTGAAGAAGGAGGAGAGTGAAGAAGGGGAGAGGAGAGAAGAAGGGGAGAGGTGGGGGGGAGAGGGAGGGGTGAGAAGAGGGAGAGGAGAGGTGAGGGGGGGAGGAGAGGTGAAGGGGAGGTGACGGGGAGAGGAGAGAAGAAGGGGAGAGGTGGGAGGGGAGAGGTGAAGGGGAGAGGAGAGGTGAAGGGGAGGAGAGGTGAGGGGGGAGGAGAGGTGAAGGGGGGAGGGGAGAGGAGAGGGGAGGTGAGGAGGCGGGTGGTGAGGAGAACACAGGGAGGGGGGGTGAGGAGAACACAGGGAGGGGGGATGAGAAGAGCACAGGGAGTGTGGGGCAGAGGAGAGACCACTAAGGGGCAGGGGAGAGCTAGAAGGGACAGCTCTATAGAACAGGGGGCAAGACAGGGAGCTCTTTCACACTACGCGCACACACACAATGCATCCCTATACATACACAGAAACACACAATGCATCCCTACACAGACAAACACAACATGCTTCCCTTACACACAGAGAAACACACAATGCATCCATTACACACACACAAAATGCAACCCTTACACACAAAGACAATGCATCCTTTGCACACATACACAGAAACACACAATGCAAACCCTTACACACACACTGCTTTTCTTACATACACACGGAAACACAATGCATCTCTAACACACACTCAATGCACACACTTACAGACACACACCTTGCATCCCTTATGCATACAAACACAGATTCATGCAATGCATCCCTTATACACAACCAGAAACACACAATACATCCCTTATACACAAATACACACTGCTTCCACTACACACAAACACACTGCATCACCTGCACAAACTGGTATCCCTATACACTACATATCATAAGCACACATATTAGATCCTCTACAATAACACATAACACATCCCCTACACACTACTCCCTGTGAGCGAACTCATGGGTGGGTGGAACATATAGGTGGACTTATGAGTGGGCCTTGTGGGCATACTCACCGTCAGGCCCTGGGGCCCAGAACTTGAGCTGTGTGAGGGGCCCCCCAAAAATGGAGCTGCTTCCAATTCTCCCAGAACATTGAATTTTGTGACTACAGCTGCAAACAGCCTCCAGAGATTCTGTTCTACACCAGACCAGTGGAGCCAAACTGCAGCCCATCATCATCCTCATCTTGTTGTAAGTAGGCAATCTAGTATATTATTAGTGACACTAATCTATAATTTACCTCACATTAAAGGGACACTATAGTCCCCAGAACGACTGCAGATTAATGAAGTGGCTCTGGTGTCTATAGCCGGTCCCTGCAGGCCTTTTAATGTAAACATACACTGTGGCAGCACTGGCGTTAGTTCGTATGGCAGCTCATATAGGTGGGGCATTGTGATGTCACATGGGGGGCGGCAAATACAGCTGTTCCCCATGCAGCCACAGGTGCCGCTGTGCTGGGAGATTGTGATTACTCTTCACTTCCTCCCAGCCTACAGAGCAGCGCATGGGAGAGAGAGAGGAGGAGGCATGATTTAATCTTACAACAAATCCAGTAAGCAAATATTTATAAATTTGGTGGGGATCAGCTCTGTTTCCACAGTTTATTGGTGTTTACTCTGATGTCTGTATTAATATTGAGGGATTTCTAAGTAGTAACATCAGTGTGTGTCAGCAGGGCCAGCCGTTGGGGTGTGCACGCTGTGCGGTCAGCTCACAAGTTGGGGACAAGAGCCTATTCAATTTAAACGATTTGCTGGTGGTCCACTGGTGCGCACCAGCAGTAGGTGTAGTCAGATTATATCCTCTCCCTCATGGTTCTGGTGCTCAGTTAGTGAGTCAGAGCACAGGCTCAGAGATTCTCAGCCTGCGCTCTGACAACATTGAAAGTCAGAGCCGTGAAGGAGCAGGTCGGGTAAAGAGCTACTGATTAGCATAACATCAATATCCGTTATAAAACCAGGAAAAGGTGGGCACCATTGCACTGATTTGGTGGTACAATGGGCCACTTGACTGGTTTTGCCCCCCAGGCCTAAGGCTGCCAGCCCTCCCCTGGAGGGGTCCTATCTTGATCTCATATTTACTGGTCCTTGAATCATATTTCTGTGTTTGAGAATCTGTCGTTATACCAGGTAACGCCTAGGCTGTTCATCAAAAGAAAGTCCTGAATTCTCGTAATAGATAATATAATCTACAAAGAGCACAAACAGCAGCAGTAACTACTAGAGTCTCTAATGCCTGCAAACTAAAACCTAAATGTAGAAATTCCTTCTTGATACATGTCTTTTGGGGCTGTTATTTACAATTTCAAGCCCAGGGTTAGACAATCTTGTCTCACACGCAAAAACTCCCTGAACTCCCTGAACCTGTTACTTTGAATGAAGCTTAGTTACAAACTGCAGAAATAGACGCCTGTTCTGCCGTCGGAGTTCACAGGGTTTGTATGTAGCCCAATCTTTATAGTAAGCAACATAGTTTATGGTGTTTAGGAAGGGACAGAGATAGGGATGGGGGTCAGTTTTTTTTTTTTTTTTAAATATAAATCTTTTTTTATTGGTATATTGTGAGTTATATATCAGATTATTACAGATGTAAAGTTGTGACATTGTGGACGCGCAGGTCCAAGAGGTTTTATAACTTAACGCAGTTATGTACATAGGAATTTTTAACGGACATTGTAACGTTATGTATCCAGATCTGCCTGGTCTGAAAACCGTAAATACATGCACAGTTATGGTCAGCACACTATATAGTAACAAACTATCTTTTTCCCCCGAACTCCGTTGCGTAAAACTGTTGGCCGCCCCTTTGGTTATATTTTTTCCTGAACGTGTCCTACAACTTATGGGTCTTCTTGTGGCACATTTAACTGGGGCCCTCTCAAGGTGTATTCTAAACCGAGCTAGGGATAATTAGTTTTCAGGAGGCTCCGTGTGATTGTCCCCATCTCCCTTTATGTATCGTTGCGGGTCTGTGGACGTTACTAGTGAGTATAAGGTCATTCTTTAGGTGGGCCACCCCCTCTAGCCTACCCTAAGGGGGGTGTGTATATGTTTGTGAGTCGTTCTAAGAGGCCCGATAAGCGGGGATGAGTGGTTACCAAATTTGTTGTGCGTAATCGACCTGATTGTTTCCTATTACAAGGCAGGTTCCTCCTCATGGTGCGTGTATGTCCTATCCTAATAAGCGTGTGTATGCGTTAAGAGTTACAAGTGGAAATTAGAAAGTATTTAGTAGTAGGGTAAGAGTAGAAGAGTTGCCCCTCGTCTCGGATGCAGTTCAAGTTGGGTAGGATAGAGCAGGTGTGAATGGTCATGCTCCAGTGAGCCAACCTCCCCCCCAAGGTGTCCCCCCGCAGGCTGCCTATCTCTGACTGCTCTGAGACACGAACGTGAACCATGGTCGCCACATTTCTGCGTGCCTGTTCCATTATAGCGGGATCAGAGCTTTGGCTGCATTAAGTAAATGACGTAAAATTGATTTCTTGTATGTGACAATCGACAGTGTTGAAATATGTAGAAGGGGCAATGCCGCCGTCCATTCTGATGTTTCTCCCATAATCTTGGTTATTTTCTCTCTGATCATCTCCAAGTATGGGACTATGAGGCGACATTCCCACCATACGTGTATCATCGTGCCCATTTCTTCAAGACATCACCAACATGTCGGTGGCGTTGTAGGGAAGATTCTGTGGAGTAGTGTCGGTGTCCTGTACCATAGCGCGATTAGTTTGTAATTCGTCTCTTGGTAATGGGTGCTAATGGAGCTTTTGTGTTGCCAGAGCAGTGCGCCCTCCCATTGTTGGGGGGTGAAGGTGGTATCCATCAGAGTTTCCCATTGCCTGCGAAAAGTGTTGTTTTCTGTTAGGTTACCCACCATAAGATGTTGGTATAAGGTGGATATAGTCTTATCTAGTGATGAGCCTCTTTTGCATCTCGTGTCAAACCAGGTAAGGTCTCTGTGGAGTCTTTCTTTATTGCTCACGGTGTTGTAATAGTGTTTTACCTGCATGTAGCGTAGTGTTATCAAGGGTGTACGAGGTGTCTCTCCTAGCAAGGAGTCTAAAGATCGTATGTTGCCATCTCGCAGAACCGTGGAGATGGGTACATGTTCGCGAACATCTGCAAAGGGCCATGCTGTCGTCGGGAAACCCCTTCCTATCGCTGGGTTGTGAGTGATGGGGAGCAACGGGCTCGGCACAGGGGAGATATGGGGTTGCTCCATCATGAGTGCCCAGCTGGCAAGTGTCTGGGCTATAATCCCGGCCGACTCTTCTCTATCACTGGCTCTGTGGCCCCCCATCTATATATTGGACTTTAGACGAGCTTCTTGTCCATCTCTGGTTAGGGCTACCCATTGTTTCCGGTGTGTACCAGCATGCCATTCCAGAATACGCTGAAGGACTGTAGCTTGGTGATACCGTTTGAAGTCTGGCAGCGCTAGTCCACCCCGGCATCTCGGTAGGCAGAGCAAGTCATGTCGAAGCCTTGGTCTCTCCCCTTTCCAAACATAGCGTATAGCCGCTGATCGTAATGAGGAGAAAAAATTTATGGGTATAGCTAGTGGGAGTGTCTGAAATGAGTATAAGAGTCTGGGATCTGCCACCTCGTCTGCGTGGGGCTCGCTGCTGTCGGGTGCCTGTTCTTGCGGACCCAGGACCCAGTTGGTGATAGATGTTGGTGGTAGATTGAGCTCCTCCAGGAACCGCGGGATGTCTTCGGGCCATCTGGCCGCTTTCCAGGTACCATTATGTCGTGCCAAGAGTGCGAACGGGAACCCCCATTTGTAGGTGATGTTGTTTTTGCTGAGTACTGCCGTCACCGGTCTGAGTGCCCGTCTGGCTTCCAACGTAAGTGGGGACAAGTCATTGTATAGGGAGACAGGGTTACCTCGAAAGGGCAACGTGGGTTGCTCCCTAGCTTTCCGCATGATTTTGTCTTTAATGGGGAAGGCATGGAGGTAGCAGATCACATCTCTAGGGCCTTCTTCAAGTGACCATGGTCTTAGGGCTCTCTGTGCCCGTTCAAAGTCAAAGGACTGTGGAGCGTCGGCCCCTAGTATAGTATTGAAGAGGTCTGTGAGAACATTCTCCACGTCCTCCCCTCCATCTGGTTCTGGGATCCTCCGGATCCGAATGTTGCACCTCCGCCCCCTATTATCCAGATCTTCAAGGTGCCTGCGCATGTGGAGGATCAGTTCTCCCTGTCGGGAAATGGCAGTGTCTGTGGCCGTTTGCCTCACGGTGTGAGTTTCCACCACGTGTTCTAGGGCCTGTATGCGGCCCACGTGAGCGCTCACCTCTGTCCTGATCCCGGCCATTTCTGCTCTCAGGGCGTCTTGGATCGTGGTGGTGAGGGTGAGCAGGTCGGCTTTTGTGGCCATGGCAGCCGCCATGGTCCTCAGCTCCTCGCTTATGCGTTCCAGGGTGGAGGATTCACATCCCCCCATCGAGGTAGGGGACCGTGGTGACCGCGGTGGTAGGCCCAGACTCCCGCCAGCAGCCCCGCGTAGGGGTTGTAGGAAACCGTCCATCAGTCCCTGTTGGGAGCTCGGGTGTGAGTCCCTGGGGGTCTGTGGTTGCTCCGTGCGGCGGTTGCGACCCATGTGTGCTCTGTTGCGGCTTATGGATCGCTATTTTGGGGTAAGGTGCAGAGGAGCTTCGGGATTAAGCGGCCATCTTGGGTCAGTGTCCAGGCCACGCCCCCAGGGTCAGTTTACATATAATGTTTATGCATATATCCTCTGTGCCCGTGTGTTAATTTTGGCAGCAAATTTCTATTTTGTTTTAGTCACAGTCTTTTGACTAAAAAGCCATTTTAGTTGTTTGTTTTATGTTAGTCATCTGCATTTTTGCAGTTTTAGTCTTGTTTTAGTCGACTGAATCTCCAGTAGATTTTAGACAACTAAAATCAAATTAAAATGGTTAGTTGACAAAATGAACACTGCTCTGTGTGTTTCTGTTCCTGCATGTACTGTTGGTTTTATCACTTTTATAACTGTTTGTTGCACATTGTAAAATAATTGTTTAGCGCTGTCCACTTTTTTGGGTACTTTGTATGTGGCAGTGTATGTGTGTGTATGTGCATACATCCAAACAATACAACACCAGCACAATCTGCAAACACATTTCTGCATTCTAACACAAATACTACATACAAACACACCCCGGCATTTAAACTCCAAAATTCTATACAAACACACCCCTGTATAAAAAACACTACACACAAAAACACACCTGCACTTAATAGCCAACACTTCATATAAACACATGCCTGCATTCAAACACTACACACAAGTACTCACTGCATTCCAATGGCAATAGTACATTCAAATACACCCCTACTTGCACACATATATTCCTTACGAAAACATGCTTACATTCAAACTCACAAACACTGCTCATAAATACAACCCTGCAAGAATGGTCAAATGGTAGATGCTCAGCTGGCATAGAATCATGGGATTTTGGCAGATGGGGATCTACCTTTCGGACATCCTTGTTAATGAGAGGGGCTTTCTTGCACCAGGGCCCTCTCTACGTTAGCTCTGCCACTGCAAGTATTTTATGATAATTCCTGCTATAACTCTATACTGAGTAGAGAGTTTCTATGGTTCTTTGTGAAGCAGTCATTCTTGGTTATCAACAGTCACTCACTGCAACATGCAATAAATCACTCAGTTTTTATATTAAATTGATAGAGGGGTCCTATCTTGATCTCATATTTACTGGTCCATTAATCATATTTCTGTGTTTGAGAATCTGTCGTTATACCAGGTATCGCCTAGGCAGTTCATCAAAAGAAAGTCCTGAATTCTCGTAATAGATACCGGTAATATAATCTACAAAGAGCACAAACAGCAGCAGTAACTACTCGAGTCTCTAATGCCTGCAAACTAAAACCTAAATGTAGAAATTCCTTCTTGATACATGTCTTTTGGGGCTGTTATTTACAATTTCAAGCCCAGGGTTAGACAATCTTGTCTCACACGCAAAAACTCCCTGAACTCCCTGAACCTGTTACTTTGAATGAAGCTTAGTTACAAACTGCAGAAATAGACGCCTGTTCTGCCGTCGGAGTTCACAGGGTTTGTCTGTAGCCCAATCTTTATAGTAAGCAGCATAGTTTATGGTGTTTAGGAAGGGACAGAGATAGGGGTGGGGGTCAGTTTACATATAATGTTTATGCATATATCCTCTGTGCCCGTGTGTTAATTTTGGCAGCAAATTTCTATTTTGTTTTAGTCACAGTCTTTTGACTAAAAAGCCATTTTAGTTGGTTTTTTTTATTTTATTTTTTTTAAATTCTTTATTTTTGGTTTGACGAAGTAGTTGATAAACATGAAAGCAGTTACATTTTCGTACAAGACAGCGCAGTGTCATACATTAGCGCAGTGCATGCATTTGACAGTTGTCAGTTTAGGCATATTATATACATTAAGTTTTCTGTGGGTGTCTTCGTCTAAACTTTTGGTATAAGTGGCAAGCGGTGTTAACTATATACAATAGCTTTGTTGTGAGGAGTTAGGCTTAGAGAGTAGAGTGTCAGTCCCCCCGCTTCCTGGGGTTTTTATTTCCCTTAACCCTCCTGCCAACTTGCTGGTCTAGGGTGCTTGCCTTCAAGGGATAGATAGAAAGGAAAAGTAAGGAATTGGAGACAAGTACATGCGTGTTTAACAGTTTCAGTTTGATATGGTTACCGGATGGACTACCGATGGGGGTGGTCAATTCCCTTAAGCTGTGTTTTATGTACTGGGCCTGGCCCCACGCTCATCTAGTAGTTGTGCCTTTTTCGCCTGGTCGAGTATTGGTGTGGTGGTTGGCGTTGGGTGGGCCCCAGCCCCGACAATTTGGAGTTGCGTGGATGCTGCCCCGCACCCCGAGGTGGTGTTCTAGGTGTCGTACTGCTCCCATAGGTCCCAGACTTTTTGGAACTTGGTCATAGTGTTTCGCACCTGAGAGGTCAGTTTATCCATGATGTAATTGTCTCGTATTTTTGTCTTAACCAGGGATATATGTGGGAGGTCTGGACATGACCATTGTTGTGCTAGGGACCTCCGAGCCGCTAAATAGAGCATGTTAAGTAGTTTTTGGTCGTGTCTGGGTAGGTCTTTTGTGGGTCTTGAAAGTAGGCATGCCCATGGGTCTAACCCCAGTCGCCTTTGTAGGATTTGGGAGCTGAGCTCCACAACGTTGCGCCAGTATTCTGCGACCTTCGGGCAGCCCCACCACATATGTATATACGTGCCCCGTCCCCCACACCCGTGCCAGCAGTCATCAGTGGGACTTAGTCCCATATGCCTCTGTTTCACTGGGGTCATGTACCATCGAAATAGAGTTTTATAAGATTGCTCTTGGAGTGTCACACATATTGTGGTTTTGCTACATGCTTCCCATATATCTTGCCACTCCGCTCCCTCTAATACCTCCCCCAGGTCGGCTTCCCACTGGTCGGTGTATCGCAGTGCGCCCTCCTTGTTCGAGTTCCCATTGAGGTGGTTTTACAGTAGCGTAATAAGTTTAGTTTGGGTTGTCTCATTGTAACATAGTTTCTCGAAGAAGGTTAGTGGTGTCAGAGCCGCCTTCCGTATGTCAGGGTTTTGTGCAAAGTCATGGATCTGCATGTATCTAAAGTAGTCTCTTGTTCGTAAGTTAGCTTTGGTGGCTAGGTGTTCGTATGTGACTACATTTTGGTTCACATATAGGTGTACGTATCGTTGGAGTCCCGTGGCCTCTATCCCCTTATAGTCTCTTGCCTGCATTCCAGGAGGGAAGGCCCTATTCCTAAGGACTGGTGTCATGGGGGACGGGTGGGAGCTGAGGGCGTATTTTGTTTTGGTTTGGTCCCAGATCTGTATAGAGTTGAGTATGGCTGGGTTCGCTGTTCTTAGTATGGCTCTTTGTGTTTTGGGTGCCCATATGGAGAATTGTGGGAGATCCTGACCCATCATCAGTGACTCTAGATCCACCCATCGTCTCCTGTCTGGAGGCGTGTGCCACTGTATCACCTGTGTCAGCTGTGCAGCTAGATAATAGGTGTAAACGTTGGGTAGTCCCAGCCCCCCCTGGATTTCGGTCTGTACATGAGGGCGCGCGCAATTCTTGGGCGTTTGTTGTGCCAAATGAAGGCATCGATTGCTCTTTGTATTCCCGTCAGGTCCCTCCGTGTTACTCTTATCGGGAGTGCTTGAAAGAGGAATAGTATCCTCGGCAGCACGTTCATTTTTATAGAGTTTACCCTCCCCAGCCAGGAGATGGGCCTATCCGTCCACTGCTCTAGTTCTGCGAGAAGGGTCCGGAAGAGGGGTGTATAGTTACGGGCAAATAGGGAGGATGTGTTCGCTGTTAGCCGTACCCCTAGATACATGAGTTCGTCAGTGGTTAACTTGAAGTGATACGTGTCGCGTATGTGGGTGAGTTCCGGGGGTTCCAGGTGGAAGGGCATTGCCACGGATTTAGAGTAGTTAATTTTGTACCCTGCTATATTGCCAAATTGCTCCAGTACGAGCGATAAGTGGTGGAGAGAGTGTCTCGGCTCCCTGAGCGTCAGCATGACGTCGTTGGCATAAGCCGAGACCGTGAATGGTGTTTCCCCCCACCGTGACGCCCCTGATTTGCGGGTGCTGTCTGATGGCTTGTAGTAGTGGTTCCAAGGTTAAGGCGAAGAGCAGGGGGGACAGTGGGCAACCCTGTCTGGTGCCGTTTCCCAGGGTAAAGGGCGTTGTTTGTGCCCCTGTGATGAGTATTTGTGCCCTCAGATCGGTGTATAGTGCTTGTATAGCTGTTACAAATGTCTCCGGGAACCCCTGGAATCTAAGTAATTCAAATAAATAAGGCCATAGCACCCTGTCAAACGCCTTCTCCGCGTCTAATGAGAGCGCCAGAGAAGGCGCTCCGGATTCCCCCATGTGCCAGATTGTGCTGACCCCGCGTCTCGTGTTCTCATACAATTGGCGGCCTGGCATAAAGCCCACCTGATCTGGGTGGATCAAGCGCGGGAGCAGCACGTTGAGTCTGGTTGCCAGGATTTTAGCGAATATTTTGAGGTCAGTGTTAATAAGTGAGATTGGCCTGTAGCTCGAGGCCAGTGTGTCGTCTTTCCCTGGTTTTGGTAAAAGGACAACATTTGCTGTAGCCATGTCGCCATCAGGCGTCCCGCCCTGCAGAAAATGGTTGCTAATGGTCGTCAGTTGGGGGGCTAATACATCTTTAAATTGTTTGTAATAACTAATGTCGTAGCCATCTGGGCCTGGTGCCTTATTGCCCTTTAGGGAAGTTATGGCAGCCTCTACCTCAAGTTGTGTGATTGGTTCTTGTAGTGCGTCCGCTTCCGCCCCGTTCACTTTTGGAATAGTGAGTTCGGAGAGAAATTGGTGTATGTCTGAGATATAAGTCGCGTTGGTGGCCCGGAGGCGGGGGGAATGGTTGTATAGTTCTGAGAAGTAGGAGGTAAACACTGCGTTAATTTCGTCGGGCGTTTCGGCCAACGTGTTTTCTGTTGTGCATATTTTTGTTATGATTTTGCCTTGCGGCCTCGGGCGGAGCGCCCTAGCCAAGAGTGTGTCTGTCTTATTTGCTTTCTTGTAGAACAAGCGTTTGGACCATA